GACTTTTAGCAGGGCTCTCATATGATGCACTGGCAGGAGGTGATCTTCCTGTTCATTCTGTTCCTACCTTCCTGCTTTCATCCTTGCAGAAGAACTTATGAGCTTCTCACTGACTGTAGTTAACTATGGCTTCACATTTAGTTGGGTGGAGCCAATGGAGGACGTCCATTTAACAAGGAGTAAAAATGAGAATGTCCACGTATCTGTTAAGAACCTCTGTTAAGTGCAATAATCTTATTTCTGAATTTGGATGAGGAGCGAGTGGAGTTTCAACCAGAAAGTCAGGTATGGATAGGTGATTAGGTCATTCTTGAAGCTCTGTTACATTTTCCTACCATACTGAGACAGCAGCTACTTGAGATTTACAACCACAGAACCATTTCATGACATCTGGAAGCTTTGGATATAACTGTGCCTAAAGTCAGATGACCTTTAGAAATTGCCTCCAGTCCTACTATATCTGTGTGTTTTAAAACCAGTGTTCATTTTTAATGAATGAAAAATCCATGGATTCTTGACTGAAGAATGACTCTTTCCTATTTGAAATTTTTTATCTGTTCTTGAAAGTTGCATGTGGAATATGGAGACAGGGCCATCTGTCCACTCAGGGCAGTCAAATCAACCCCTGTAACAGACTATGGTGGCAGACTATGTCCTCCGACTCTGAAATTGTACAATTCCTGCTCATTCCAACGACAGTTTAAGTGAGGTGTTGGTTAGCATGTGGATTGGCCTATGCCCCAACCTAACTTCTTAATATGAGACAATTTGAATGTGTAGTGTCTAGTAAAGAGTCTGCAACATAGTAGACATTCAGTAAATGGTACCTGATTGTTTTTATTTACTTTCCAACAATGTTGAGTGATGATGGCCTCCCAAAGAAACTTTACACGCTGTTTCAGAAATTTGGTCATAGACCATTAGATTGTAAATGTAAGCACCAATGTCACTGTCATCCTCAGGAACTAGCAGTTTCTGATACATAGTAGGTGCTAAATAAATATTTGAGGGATTATCGAATGATCAGTGATGCAGGCTTCTGCGAATCAAAGAAAATGGTTGGAAAGGGGCATACACTCTTCAGAAGAAATAACATGCACAAAGATTGCCCCACTTTCTTTTAGAGGAGTCTCACTGATCTTTAGAAAGCAAAACAAAACAAAATGAATAGTATGGTCCCTTTTTGGAACAGCTTGAAAGATGTAAGGACCAGAGATTTTTAAGTTGGTAAGTAATACGACAAATTCATGTTTTCCAAAATCATAAGATGCTCTGCCCAACTGTCTTCTCTCAGATGGGCTCATGTTGCACAGGTGTCCCAGGGACAGCAGAAGGGAAAAGACTTAAGAATTAGATTAAGGATTTCACTTTATAAAATTGTAGGTTATGATTTTACAACTTTCCATAGATTGTACTGATCCCGTTCTGTGTGCTAGGCACTATACAATGTACTTTTTATACATTCTCATTGCAAATTAAACAATGAGATCAGAAATTTTCATCTCTATTTCATAAGAGGAATTTCATGTTCAGTGACTTATTCAAGGTCTTATATGGTGAGGCTGATACGTAATTCCATTCTTTTTTTTTTTTTTTTAAGTTTATGTATTTATTTTTGAGAGAGAGAGGGAGACAGGGAATACCAATCAGGTTCTGCACTGTCAGCACAGAGCCTGATGTGGGGCTTGAACTCAAGAACCATGAGATCATGACCTGAGCCAAAAATCAAGAGTCAGATGCTTAACCAACTGAACCACCCAGGCTCCCCCTATGATTCCAGCCTTAGAGTAAACAAACAAAAAAACCCTTCACGGAGCTATAACTCACATATTACAAAGTTTACTCATTTTACCCACCTGAAGTGTACATATCTATGAGTTTAAGCATATTCAGAATGTGCAACTACCTCATTTATTCTTGAAGTTACTCATTTATTTTATCCAATGCTTAGGAGGGCAGCTTTTTCCCCTAAGGTTGGTAAAAACTGATTTCTCAAGTTGATTTAAGCAGAAACTTACTGGTCCACGGGTAAAGTAGTTTACAGGTTAAGTTTGAGCCAAACTTTTGTCTGAACCCCAGCTCGTTGATATTGATTGTGTGATCCTGGGTAAGTTCCTTAACAAATCTGTGCCTCAGTTTCATTAATTGCAAAAAAGAGAATAATCATTAAAGGAGTGAATTCACTTAAAGCACTTAGAAGTCTGCCTGCTATATACTAAATGCTCAAAAAGTGTTAGCTATTATTGTTATTAAAAGTACATTAATAGACCCTCCTGGTAACTCTTGAGTATTGTAGAATTCTGAAATAGCTTCTGAAGCATGGAAATTGTGGTCAGTGAAAAGTACTTACTGTATTCTAATTGTTTGCAAATTGATGATCCATGGAATGTCAACAATTTACTAATAAAATTTCCTTTACACTTTGGCACTCAGAAGGTATTTCCCCATTTAAACACTACTTCCTGTGACAGATACTAGCTGTCTGCCCAGTATCCTTTTTCACCCCCTCTTCTTGTCAGAGCACCAATTTTATTCTGGATGACAATGTGTGGGACAGAGAACTAGGTTTCCGGCCCTCTTCCCAGCTCAGAGGGCCAGACATGTAAACAGATAGTGCTGAATAAAGCTTCCAGGAAAGGTCCTTCAGTTGATTCAGTTGGGAGAAGACAGTCTTTTTGCCATTCCTTTCTTCCCCCTTCTCTGGTTCTTGATCATGGACCCTGATGTCTGGGGCTCTCGTAGCCATCTTGGACTGTAAATTGAGAGAAAGGAAACTACCTGTTGGGTACCGAGAAGCAGAAAGATGGCAGCTGCCTGCCCGATACCAACTGTGGACTGTGTGCACTCTTTCACATGAGAGGAAACAGACCACTTTCATGACGTTACTTGGTTTTTCTGCTACTTACAGCTGTACCTAACTGCAACTCACCCTTAGACTTTTCTTGGTCAGTACAAAATGGACTTAAAATAATACTATAGTCTTTCAACAAACATACGCTTAGCGTCTGTTGTTGCGTGCCAGTCATTATTTTGAGGGATGGATGTGTAAGGGAAGTCTCTGCTCTCAAGGAATTAACAGTCTGGCAGAAGAGAGACAGAATCCTAATGGTACCAGAATGTCAACTGCCAGAAGCAGGGGGAGGGGGAGGTGGGTCAGTCAGGATAGACCTGACTTTCAGGAGGACGAGACATAGTTGAATACTGAAGAGAGTATCAGGTGAGATGGGACGGGCATTTCTGGCAGAGAAGTACCTGACAGAAATGACCTAGGAGGCACTGCAATATTTCTACACGGAAATGAATTGTTTCTATTTTAGATGCTGAGAACATCATCTGACCTTTGCTTACTGGAGCCAGGTCTCTTACATTTCTGCCATTCTCTCATCCTCTAAGATCCAAGTTAGTGACGGGAAGTCCTGGTACCTAGCAGCACCAGATAACACCTGTGGAAGCAATGCCATGCACCTACATAAAGAACTAACAGACGTAAGGGTACCAAGGACTCACTAGGTAGATGTGGGAGGAGGGGGCATTCGGCAAAGAGGTAGACAGGGGTCCTCCTGCCGCTTCCTTACAACCGACCTAACCCTGAAGGGAACGAGGGACATGCCTGGAATGGGAAAGCTGGGTAGCCATCTCTCAGCTATCCTGTCTGTCCTGCTTACTTCCCCCAGCAGTTCCAGGGGCAAAAGAGAGAAGTGTTGGGGGGGGAAGGAGGAATTTGCAGCAGTAAAACATGACACGGAATACTTGTGGCAGACCCAGCTGGGGTGGTGATTTGAACAAAATGTCACAGACTGGGTCTGCCTCTATGGCACACATACGCACTCCCAAGATTGACTTGAGCCCTCTAGTCTCAGTGTGCAAATACAAGATTATAGTTTCTAATTTAAAGGCTGTATTATAAAATTAAAAATGTTCCTAAGGGCAATACACTTTGAGATTTAATCCTATAAAAATTGTCCTATTTTACAAAGCACTCACCACAGTTGGCCTCTTAAATCTGACTTAGTAACATAAAGGACAAAAATGGAGGCGCGGGGGGTGGGGGGGTCTTACAAACAAAAAGAGAACATTTTACTGATAGACATGGGCTCTATGTTAGGCTTTTCCACATATATTACCTCATTTAATCCTTGTAAGCGAGAGTGATCTTTATTTTTATAGATAAGGAAATATGGTTAACTGATTTGCTTTGGGTCATAAAGCTAGTAAGTGATAAAAGAACTCAACCAAAGGGCTATATATTTCCCAAATCTCTTTTTTCACTTGACCTTTAAACTGTATACCGCTTAGACTCAGCATCAGCACCAAAATAACAGTATTAAACAGTAAGTGCTCAAAGGCTCTATTATTCTTATTATTTAGAAATATAAGTTCTTTAGATCTCAATAATTGATTATTTACCCAGCAAGTAAGTTATAAAATGTATAGATCTGTTAATAATGTGCCTCTTTGTTCTTTACAGCGCTTCAACAGCAGCCTGAGTTGGCTCTTAGTTCAGAAAAACCTAGTAGTTGTCAGGCCTAAAATTGGTGGGATAGCAAGAATTTCCCCTCTTGTCTTTAGCCACTGCCTATTCCAATAAGCCCAACAACAACAAAAGAACCATTAACTCCAATGAATGTATCTTATTCCAGCTCCCTCCAGGGCAGTTCAGCAGTTAGTTTCACCTCAATGAATACTGGCTACAGGAAAGAAAGAAACAAACAAAAAAGATTTTTTCAACCGCATTTACTGGCCTGCATAAATATTTGAAAACAAATCCATCTGTCTTCCCTTTCTGTATCCTTGGCACAATTTATTACAGTTTTTAGTAAACAAATTACTGTAAATATCCATAAGCGGAAAATGAATTTTAAAATATGAGGGAGAGGTCAATAAATAGTCAAATATGTCAGCCACTGAAAGGACTACTTTTTCTCTTAAGATTAAGCCACTGATTTGCAAGTTTATATACTAAGTTTCATCTATAAAAACAAAGTAATTTACAACTTGATCTCAACTCAAAGTTTTGACAGTTGAATTTTTACATATAAAAGCTGCAAAATTTCAACTAAAGAAGACAGAAAACATTCGGATATAAGTTTATTCTATCAACCTCAGCAAACAAAGAATGACTGCGTATCAATTTACGTTAGTCCTCTGGTCCGGAATATACTTTCCATTTAAAATGTTTGTGACCACGCTTCTGTATGTCATGGATAGCTTCTAGTGGGAATTAGTATATAGTCTGTTCTTGATGAAGACAACAGTGGACAGATGTTGCCTGATCCCTGGGTAATGCTGAATGTGACAAAACCAGCGAGACACATTAAGATATTTTTCCTTTTCTTGAACTGTCAGGTCAACCTAAATAGAGATTAAAAACACACACAACACAGACATTACATAAGAACAATTATCAATATCATTTGACTAAAAGATAAAAACTGGGGGAAAAAAAAAACAACCCCAGTTCTCAAAAGCCAATATATTTGGATAGGATTAAATAATTTCAGCCACTTAGAAGAGCCATTTGTTTAATGTTTTTATGTTCAGTTCAACACCAGATATGCTTTCTAAGGAAGTCTCAAATTTTCAACAAATGAAAAGTTTACATTAACCCAGCATCTGGAGGCCGAAAGAGTTTGTTTTTTACTTTACTGGAAAGGAAGATAGGAGAAAGTTAGAGAATAGCTCCCAAAAGGTAAGACCTTGGTTCTTTCCACAATATTTTTTTTTTAGCAAATCTAAAAGAAAGGTTTATTAGGATCTAACATGCTTAATAAGAGAATACTATGTAAACTCTAATACATGTGTGGATATACACGCACATTAATAGATGGCTGGTGTGTGTATATATATATACATACATATATATACCACACACACACACACACACACACACACACACACGCACACAGGGGGAGAGAGACAGATGGAGAGAGACTATCACTTTCTTTTCATTAACTCTGGGCAAGAACTGTACTCAGGAAGACAATGACCCACTTAATTTCAAGTGATTATTGCTTAATACAAGGAAGGGCTATTTCCAGTGGCATGTGCCTCAGATGAACAGACCTTCTCAATTAAGTTTGTCACAAAGCTGAACTCTATCTCCATTGAGTGCAGCAGGTCACACAATTTCCTGTCAAGCTACAAGAATGCCCAAGATCTCCTTAGAAAAAGACGTAATAAAAACAGTCGGTCCTATCATTTCACTGGGCTCAAATTCCAAAGTAGGTGACTCAACGACTTTTCTCTAAGCCAAATCTTAAACTAGAATCAAGGAGAGTTGTCAGGTAAAGAGAGAGCCAGTGGGCCAGTAACTAACAGCCATGGCCCATGTTTACGATAGTGTGGCTCCTTTTGCTGTTGTTGAATCCACATTTATTCAGATATTACAAATGTCTGGAAGACGGACTAGAACATTTTACACAAGGGAAAAAGCCTCCTGTGGTTCAAATCCATTAGAGGTCTGCTTACTGGAAGGCACTTTTAGTGAGAGAGCTGTCCTGGGGCTGTTTAGAAGTTCGCATATACTTGTGTCTACAGGCAAATATTCTGCCTGGGTCAACAAAACTGAGGACAAATCACTCTAGTATGCAAAATTTATTGCAGAATATAAAATAATGTTGATAAAATTAAAAGGCAGTCACATAATATTCTCTCAGATGTTTAGCTGAACTCATTATTTCCACTTTATATTTATTAGAAGGCAATTAAAAAAGCAAAACCGATACAAATCATCCTGCCTTCCTTTTTACCGATGACATGAGGATACTACTGTATCAATATCTGATCTTTTAACATTGTCTTGGGTAGTTTCAAAAGTCCATCTCTGTTGGCTCAGTTTACTTAGATTATCAGCAGTGAGAATCTTCTGCCTCTGCTACATAAAAAATTTAAGTTTCAGGTTTAAGTCCGTACATATAAGTTGCTACACAAATGATGAAAACATATTCATCTTGTTTAAGGCAGTGTAAGGCTGAATCTAGTTATCAGAAATCTGTTACTCTGTTTCACTTACAGTATCATTAGTCTATGGCATGTATATATAAACATATACACGTATATATATGTGTGTGCATATATATATATACACACATCTATATGTATAAGGTACTTTTTATTACAAGAGAATTCATGGCTTCACATGTGAAGAATTATCTTATTCCTAACTGTCTGGTCTATAAACAGGAGGGAAATAAACATTGCTGAATAAACTGAATTATCAGTTTATGTTTCAAAAGGTAAAAAACATTTTGTAAAAGAGCTAATGTTTTGTTCTTTCTAAATGCTTTCCATATGTGAACTTCACCAGTGACTTCAAAAGAAAATGTAAGATTTAAAAGAAAAATTTTTACATAGCCTTTATTTTTATATAGTTTTTAAATGTCTACTTATTTATTTTGAGAAAGAGAGCACGTGAGCAAGGGAGGGGCAGAGAGAGAGGAAGAGAGAGAATCCCAAGCAG